GGTTCTTTAACTTTATTTAGCTTTAGCATTTGTTTGACATATTTTAGCATCTGATTTGCTAACTTTAGCTCTTTCGTGTGGCTTGCTAACTTTCACATTTGCATTGTTAGCTTGTAGGTTAATTTAGCTTTAGCTTCCTGTATGTTAATTTTAACTACTTTGATTATTTTATAACATTTAACTATTGTTCTGCTGCTTTTAGCTCCTTGTCTGTTGGTTTTATCTTTCACATAGTATCTGCTGCCTTTAGCTGTTTTTATGTTGTACCGACTGTTCTGCTGCTTTCAGTTTCAGACAGACACTTCTTCACCTTACCTGCTAACACTTTGCTAATAGATATTAGCATGTTTTCTTATCATTTGCAGCTGTTTTGCTTAGTTAATCTTTAATATTTTGTTATAAGTTTAACCAGTTTTTTTTACCAGCTGTCTTACTTATTTTAGCTTTAGCTTGTTTAACATATTTTGATATTTTAGCTTTTTCTTATGTCTTGCTAACTTTCACACCAGCTTAATTTTACATCCCTTCGGCTAATTTAACTCTAGCGTTCATTAAACCCATTGACTAGTTTTAGTAGTTCTGCTTTTGTATGTTTTAGCCACTACTCTGCTGGTTTTACCCACTACTCTGCTGGTTTTACCCACTACTCTGCTGGTTTTACCCACTACTCTGCTGGTTTTAGCCACTACTCTGCTGGTTTTACCCACTACTCTGCTGGTTTTACCCACTACTCTGCTGGTTTTAGCTTTACAGTAATGTTCTGCTGCCTTTAGCTGCTTCTCCTCTACAGAACCTATTTTCTCATGTCTAATGTGCTCCTTTTAGCTGCCAGTTGACTTCTTGTCTGTGAGCTGATAGCTAAGATTAGCATGTGTTGCTAACATCAGTATTGACTTTGTTCTGCTGCCTGGTGTTAGCTTTAAGCTAATGTTCTGTCTTACCTTTGTTCTTCTGTGGTTCTGGTCCAACAGTTTCCCTTTAAACAACGCTGACATGTTTAAATTCTTCTTGTTTTTAGACTCTGAAACAAATTATGATCAAACTTTACTTCCTTTAATTACGCTAACAGATAACAGACTAATAAAGTAAAGATCTGACTTGGGTAATACAAGTATATGCGTTAAAAAGTACTTAATATTCTCAATTGTTACTTTATTGACAATTTACCTGTCTGAACGTTATAACCAAGACTTCCGGTTAATATTTAAGCAATAAATGGCGCGAAAAGGCCAGAGTCCAGTCCGTGTTTTCACACTCACCGCACGTGAAGAGGATTATGCTGCATTCAGTGTGTGTCGGAAATATTCATTTTATGTTACATTCGCGTTATAAACACCTTTAATGCACAAAAAGGATTACGTTAGCTTTGCTGTTTGAATATTATAATTAAAATGTTGAGTTTTTGCTCCATAAATTAAATTCACTTTACAAACCAGACTCCGTCGTGGCGCTTGTTTTATTCATCCTAGTAAAAAACTGTAAATTCCGAGTTTCCGGCGGTCACTGAACGCATCATCATCATCCTCTCTTTGTTTGAAAGTGTCCTCCTCGGTGGGAGCAGAAGTCCGGCAGGTAAACGCTGGTTTTAACGGTCCGCTCATGTCCGTGGCTCTGGAAGCAGACTCCCGTCGGGACGACGTGTTTCTGGGTCAGTTTCCGATCCACCGRGCCTGTCGGGACGGAGACCTGCACGGTTTGATGTGTCTGTCGGAGCAGCTGTCAAACCAGGCTCCTCTGACCGCGGAGGACTCGAGCTTCGGCTGGACTCCTCTCCACTGGGCTGCTCACTGCGGACAGGTCAGGTGTTTCTTCACTTTTATTAAAATGTTGAGCTGAAGCTGGGATTAACTGGACCCACATCTTCTAGTTTCGTCCAGAAACTTGTTTTTAACTTAACTTCAGAGAGCAGTTGGATCATCTAAACGTGTTTTCCTCTAACAGAACAATGTTAAAGTCATTGTTTAATGTTTGCGGACACTTTTAAGGTGCTTTTGTTGTTGTGTGTTCGCTCAATAATGTTTTATCGAAGGCGGGACAAACAGTAGCCTCGTGGATTCTGATTGGTCCGGAATGAGCAGCCTGGTTTCTGATTGGTCCGAACGGAGCCAATAGTTACTGAAGCGCCAAACAAACCAGGAAACGCTGTTTTTGTTTTGTTTCTATTTTCAGTGAGCTCACTGTGTTTGAAATAATATAAATAATGTATTTTTAAAAACTTTATTTCATGCATTAAACCTGTCAAATCAAATGTAATTATGTTTGTTAAAGTAAAATTAACATTTTAGTCTTGGATAGTGTGGACTGATTAGTTCAGAGCTGACTAGGTTTGGGCAATATTGGCAAAAAAATTAATCATGATTAATTGTGGTATTTAGTCGATAACGATTAATTTGACGATTAACCCCCTGGAGTCCCTGGACACCCTTATGTCCTGGTCACATGACCAGTGTAGTGGGAAATATTTGCTCTTTGTAAAAATCTGTTTCAAATTGTGTCTAAATTACACTCTTCAGGCTGTACATCATGTTTTAAATTGTGTTGACAGATAAATAAGTTACAGGACTTTATTTTTAATATTCCTCATATTTGAAGCAGAGAGGAGCAGCGAGCGGACTCTGCCTGGTGGCATTAATCGTATTAATTGTCAAGTGCCAAAAATTAATCGATTAATGTTTTTCTGACGATTAATCACACACGATACGATTATGCCCAACCCTAAACCGAAGATAAACATTAGAATCAGCTTACAGTAACTAAAGTTAAAAAATAGCTAAACATGAGCTAAAAGCCATGAAGAACAAAAATGTTGCTAAGTTAAAACTAGTTAAACTATACATAACAGTTAGCAAAATTGTTGCTCAAAGCTAAACTCAGAAAGACAGTAGCTAAAAACTTGAACGACAGTAACAAAAAGGTAAAAAATTATCAACTGTTGCTAAAAACTGAAATTACTAAAACCATTGCTAATTAAAACGAACAAAACTAAAGCTGAAAGTTAAACATTCTAAGACGGTAGCTTAAAGCTACAATGATTTTATAAAACAGCTAAAAGCTAAAATGTCCAAAGTTGTCGCTAAAGCTAACGTAACAAAATCATAGCAAAACAAAATGAGGAAAACCAAAGCTAAATGTTAGAATCAGCATACAAGTAGCTAAAAGCTATGATTTGCTAAATCAAAGATAAAAGCCCAAATAAGCCGAACTGTAGCTAAGCTCATTTAGTCACACCATAAAACTAGAAAGCTATAGTCAGCAAAAGCTAAAAACTAGTTAGATGGTAGCTAATAGAAAAAAAAACGTTTAAAACAGCAGCTAAAATCTGAAAATAGCTAAACCTAACTATGAGTTTAAAGGGGAACTGTGACTTCATGCAGAACAAAAATCAAGAAATGGGGGGGGGGGCAGCCTGCCCTCTTTGGATAACAGTAGT